GATCCCTTCCATGCAAGCTGCTTGACGCTCCCACGTAACTTCTCACATCAGGATGCTATTAGTCATGTTATGACACAACCAGCAAGCTCTTTCCGAGGCTGGCCAGGTGTGGCTACCTGATGTTAGATCTTCAGATTTCAAAACTGTGAGCTAGATAAGCCTCTGTTGTTACAGACTAGTCCAGCTGGAAACACAAAGAAAACTAAGACATCAATTATATGCTTGGGTGCATGTCTGACTCCCTCTGTATTCATTTTGTTAACTGTTTCTGGGATAATGTACCCCTCCCCCACCTCAAAGCAATTTAGGGTAGAAAGGGTTTATTTTAGCCCACCATTCCAGGCCACAGTCCATCATTTCGAGATAGTATAGGGGGCAGGAACTGTAGAGAACAGGGCCGCAGAAATGGCTCAGCAGTTAAGAGCACTGACTGCTCTTCCAGGGGACCCAGGCTTGATTCCTAGCAATCACATGGCAGCTCACAACCATCCATGACTCCAGTTCCAAAGAAGACCTTCTTTGGCCTCTCCAGGCACCAGGCATGTACATGGTACATAGACATATATGTAGGCAAAACACTCATAACCATACAATTATTTTTAAAAAGAAAGAGCAGAGAGCAGTGAATTAATGCGTACATATCAGTCAGTGCTCTTCTGGATTTCTCCACTCGTACAGTTCAGGATTCTATTCCCAGGAGATAATATCAACTTGACAGTTAGCCATTGCACCCTCCAAATCTTCTGATTCATTAGAATGATTCACAAGACTCAGGAGAGGTTCACGCCTCAATATTTTTTGCCCGAAATTAGTTCTAAGATTCAGCTATTGAACATGTGACAAAATATCAGGAGGGTGTGGTTGAGAGTTTCAGTGTGTTGGTCATGTTCTTAATCATTCAGGCATGACTGTCATGTTTCTTCAAACTGCCTAAGGACTCACCAGAGATCACCTCTGGCATCGGATTCGAATGTAATAGAAAAGCTCATTATAAACAGAAAAAGACAATCCCATCATTCCAAAAATCCCAGGAAAGGGGGAAAATACATTATTTATTATACCATACACCCACAGCCACAGGAGGACTCCTGGACATAAGCATCAACGCTACCTGGTTTTTATAGACAAGAATTGAAGCCTACGCTCCCACAAAACTATGGGGCTTTTCCAGCACACTTTTCTCCCTGTTCTTCTCCCCAAATGTACCCAGGTTAAGGTCATCGGGAGCTCTGCATTACTGAACAGAGAGTCCTGCTGTTCAAAGTCCTTAGGAGTCTACTTTATGATGGTTGTATTGATGCGTTTCTCTCTTTCACCCCTTTTCCCCCCCCCCACAATCTCCCCAGTTCCTCAAGAGCTACCAAATCCTACCTCTCCTGTGACATTCAGTGAAGCGGGAAAGTGACCTTTGCTGAGCATCAGTGTGTTTTCACATGGTGTGACATTGACTACTCTGGCAACTCCAGCGTGTGAGTATGCTAGTGTTTATTAAATACTAAAGGAAATTCATGCCTAGAGAATTTACTTTGAGACTGTAAAAGTAAAAGTGGATGATTTTACAGTAATCCACTAGTCTTACAAAGTTTCACTATTGTACCCATTAAAGCCAAATTGTTGACAAAATTCTGTACATTTAAAAGCTAGGTGGTGGTGGTGCACGCCTTTAGTCCCAGCACTTGGGAGGCAGAGCCAGGCGGAGATCTGTGAGTTCGAGGCCAGCCTGGGCTACCAAGTCAGTTCCAGGAAAGGCGCAAAACTACACAGAGAAACCCTGTCTCGAAAAACAAAAAATAAATAAATAAATAAATAAATAAATAAATAAATAAATAAATAAATAAGGGTATAAGCTGGATATGATAACAGGTGCCTTTAACCCAGCACTTGGTGGGCAATGGCAGGCAGGAATCTATGAGCTTGAAGCCAGCATGGTTTACATAGTGAGTTCCAGGCCGGCAGAGAAAAATACACAGTGAGATCCCATGAAAGAAGAATAAGAAAATAGGAATAAGAATGAGAATAGGAGGAGGAGGAGGAAAAAGGGAAGAGAAAGAAAAAGTAAAAAATAAAAAATGTAAAAATAGTTGCATCTTAAATCTTTTCTGCTTGTAGTGTTGAATGCAGATGTCACACTTGTATGTGTTTTCTAGTTGTGTTGTTCTAGAATTAATCTTCCTTTCCACTGAGAAATTGCTCTGTACGATTAAAGATTGATAAAAGAAAAAGCTCTTTAATATAGCGTATGTCCAACTCGGCCTAAAGCCCAAGCAGAAGCTGGCTAGAATAGAAAATTTTGCTGATGCATACACACCTTAGGTTTATGCATTCCACATATGCTGTCATTTTCAAATCTCTTTCAGGTCGTGGCCCTAGGTTATGCCTTGGACAATTTAAACAGAAACTGGAGAGTACAAGTCTGGCCACTAAGACAGATGGATGCACAGAGTGAAGATTTTGCATATTGTACAATTATTTTAAGTGCATCAGTGCTCTTCTCTTTGAGATACTGCTACCCAGAGTCATCTTTCTCACTTGGCAGAATTAAGCTTTTCTCAAGAAGAGAACTAAGGGCTTTGCGGTAGGCCAGGACTTAACTTTGGCTGTGGCTCTGCCCTGCCCTCTTGTGGTGCCTGTTAAAGGCACCCTCTTGGATAGAGGGTTGTAAATCAGGGTTATTGCCTAAGCAGATCTATTAGTAAATCCTCTCCACTCTCGATTGATTCGGTGGACTGGAAGGAAGAGGTGACATAGTTGTCTATCTTTCCCTTCCCTTCCTTGTCCCCCTTTCTGTGTGAGTACTAACACCAGAAGATCACCAGTGGGGGGCGGGAAAAAGATGCAATAGGATTTGTTGGTGGTTCACGTATTTTAGAACACTGTATCTTGCTTTCTACATTCAGAACAAGTTCTGTCTGGCAAGGAGACTTGGCCTCCAGGGCTACCACTGTCCTCCCTTCTTTTCCTTGGACTCAGTAACAGATGCCGTTTGAGTCTAGCTTAACTCCCCTATATTATAGGCACAACCGAATTCTCTGCTTGTCGGGCATCCTGAACGCTGGAACACAAGTGTTGACAGGTGGACACCATGGTTGTGAGTTCCCGTCCTCCTCACACTCCATTGTCCTTTCAGGGTTCACTTTTAAATGGAAGCTCGAGGCAACTCTGGTAAGAATTCTAGAATGGCAGCAACAGAGAATTAAAGGAAGCACGGGGTCCTTCCGAGTGCGTGGTCTCCGCAGTAGCCTGTGCAGCGGGGTCCTTCTGAGTGCGTGGTCCTTCCGAGTGCGTGGTCTCCGCAGTAGCCCGTGCAGCATCTTGAGGTGTCCTAGGCAATGTGTTTGCAGCTCATTCTGGTTACAGCTCACAATTGTTCCTCAGTCTTGCCAACACTTGACACTGTCAGTCTCTGAGCTTTGACCACTTACTGAGTGCTTAGTGTTATTTCCTTTTGATATTTAGCTACACTTTTCCTGACCACTAAGGAGAGTAAGCATCTTTCCATGTGTTGATTACTGTTTGGCTTCATTCTATGCGCATGTGTTACCAGATCCAGTCTCTGACCCATTTTTCTATTGGCTGCTAGCTTTAGGGGTGAGTCTGGATTTGTGATCATTGTTTTTTATGGTATGAAATGGGAGCTTTATATAATATTATATTAAAATATTTCCTATTCTGTGGTTTGTTCTTCACTCATTCATGATACATTTTAATTACTCGGTGCTCTCAGTGTTTATATAATTTGCCAGTCTTCTTAGATTAGATAATATTTTATGTTTTCAGAAATGTTTTTCTTCAAATTATAAAGAGATTTTTTTACATGACTTTAAGTTTTATTGTTTTGTCTTTTACGTTTAGGGGCACAATCTAGCTAGCATTAATTCTTTTCGAATGATATACTGGTGATACTTTGAATAATACAAAGGTAGGTTCCCAGCTCATCTCCAGCTTGTTCTCTATAATACATACTATTCTTAATGGCTTTATTGAACTGAAGAACATGTCTATAAAATGTTTAAAACATAATAAAAGGTAAGCATTTCTCATTCTTGTCAGTATGGAACATTTTTGAGGAAAGATTCCTGAAAAGAATAAGTATTTAATCTTAGACCATTCTTCAACTATTTTGAACCTCACTTGCCTACTCTGGGGGAGGGCTTTGGTTAAAACAAAAGTTGGAGAATATGGGTGAATCAAAGTAAATCCATACAAAAAATTATAAGTGGATTAGTTGTGGTGGCTCACGCCTTTAATCCCAGCACTCAGGAGGCAGAGGCAGGTGGAGCTTTCTGAGTTCAAGATCAGCCTGGTCTACGCAATGAGTTTCAGGTCAGCTGGCTACCTCTTGAGACTCTTGAAAACAAACAAACAAACAAATAAATAAATAAAATAAACAAAATTACAGGCGTCCTGGAATATTGCTTTGGCGAGTGTACACCTCATGTTTGTCGTGCGCTTTGTCTGTCGGAGGTTAATTCATCATTCTTCTCCCGGCCATGTATTCCACATTTGGCATACAGCGGTCTGGCCTTTGATTATCTGTGCTCATTCTTACACCGCGCGAACTTTGTCCCCTTAGTTTGCAAACGTTGGTTCCTTGAGGCCCTGCATCACCACACCCCGCTGGTGGATTCCTACTTGTCTTTCAAGACATTAAAAAATATATATATATCTGTTTTAAAAGAAGCGCTCAGTAAGCGTAGGTCTAATTATTGCTTAAACATAATTGCATCAGAAGTGCATTCCTGGCGTGATTACTGAAGAAGTGGATCAATGCGAGGGGTTGCTGAATTCACCCATGAATCCTATCACGTTGAGCACTTGTTCTGGGAAAGGCCTAGAGAAAACATTTTGCGGAAAAGCCTAGAAAAGTTTCCCTCCCGAGCGCGCGCGGCGGGAAGGAGCAGCCGATCTCCTCCTACCTGGGGATTTTCTTTTTCTTTTTCCCCCTCCCAGGGGCGGTGATCGACTGGCTCGGCGCTCGGCGCAGCGAGGCGGTTCGGCTAGTTCTGTCTGGCGGCCATCCCGGAAGTGGGCGAAGGCGGTTGTGGTCAGTGCCTGCCCGCTCCCTCCTCGCCCGGGGCCGGCTGCGCGGGGGCTGCTGGCGCCATGGCCGACTCGGACCCGCGCTATCCCCGCTCCTCCATCGAGGATGACTTCAACTACGGCAGCTGCGTGGCGTCGGCCAGCGTGCACATCCGCATGGGTAGGTGGCGGGTGGCCAGGGGGCTGGGCCAGGGGACCGGGCGAGAAGGAGTCTCAGAGGGACCCCGGGGTGCGTGCGGGCTGTCAGGGTCCGATCGAGCGATCGCCTGCGCCAGCGGTTGTCACTCAACCTTTCCCTGGTGGAAGGGCGGGGGTGCGGGGGTCGCGACCCACACGGGGTGAGAACCTGCCCCCCTGAGACCTTGACCCTTGAATACATACAGTGCCTCATGCTGTGCAGATCCCCACCACCACCACCACATTATTTTTGCTGCTACTGTTGTTATGAATCGTAATGTAAATATCTGATATGCAGGGATATCCGATATGCAACCCCTGTGAAAAGGTCGTTCGACACCCCCAAGGGGGTCGAGCCCCACAGGTTGAGAACCTCTGGCTTATGCCCTCCTTTAGCTTCTTCCCCTGTGCTGAGAGCTGGTGGCAAACCGACGACTTGACCATCTCGGCCATTCCTTCCTCTCCCTGCGGTCTTAGAACCCAGCCTGCGTTTGCATAGTGACTTAGAAGTTTCCCCAGATCGATGCCTGCCTAACTCTAAGGTCCTGGCAGCACCGAGTGGTTAATGTGCTATCCTGCGCAGAGTGATTGTTTTTAACTGAAGCTCTTCCGTGTCCCGTAAGGAAGCAGAATTCACTGTCCACGACAGGCCGTCTGTTTACAAAAGCCTGCCCCGGATTCAACCCGCTTGGGCAAGCTGAAACCGGTTCTGGAAAAAAAAAAAAAGGAATTTTGACATTGGTTCTGACGCATCAAGAATCTTGGTGCCTACCCAGCACGATATTCCTAGAATGGATTTTGAAATTATTTTGACAAGTGAGCTCAGCTTTTAAACTGTATTACTTATGACAAAGTACTCGTGGGAGAAAATTTGCCACGCTAGCCTCTTTTGAGGTACAGTGCTATATAGTATTGTTTTGGCACGCTGTTGTGTTTCCTATCCGGAACTTTCTCAGCTTTCAAAGCAAAAGCGAAACTGTACCCATTACATAGCTTGGCGTTGCCTACCTCCTCTGCCCTTGACAACCACCATTCTATTTCCGGTCTGTATAAAAGTATTAGACATTCCTCACTAAAGGGCAATCACACAGTTTAGTCTTTGTAACTGGCATGTTTCTGTTAGAATAATGTCTTCAAGGCGCATCCGTGTCATAGCATATGTCTGTCTGACTTTCATTCTTCCTTTCTCTCCTGCCTGCTCCAGAATGCCACGCAGTTAAGATCATATGATACATTGGGTGGCTCCCCCCCTCCCCGCCACTTCTCATTTGCATCATTCATTTGGTCCTGCAGTGTGTATTTAAGATTCTCCGCCCCCTGTCTTCTGTGGCCTGATAGCTCATATGCTTTTGCTCCTGGAGAATCTTCCACTCTCCGCAAGTGCCAGTGTGCATTCTTATCATATCAGCTGAAGGTCGTTGCGCTCTTGGCTGCTTGTACATTTGGGCCGTTATAGATAAAACTGTTTTGAAAACACCCATGTGCGGGTTTTTGTGTGTACATAGTTTCAGTTAATCTGGATAAATACCAAGGCCCATGATAGCTGGGTCATACACAAGAACGTGTTCTGTACTGCGAGAAACTGCCAAACTGTGACCCTGCATTGCTAACAACAAACAATGAACGTTCTTCCTCATCCTTGCCAGAATTTGGTTTTGTCAGTATTTTGGATTTGGGCTACTTTAATAGATTTTCATTGCTTGTTTTGCTTGCTGGGTATATCTTTTGCAAATATTTTCTCTCAGTCTGTAGCTTGTCCTTTCATTCTCTTGATGTTGCCCATTTTAAGAATACTTTTATTGTATGTGCATTTCATACCTGCATATAATGTGTTCTGATCAAATCTACCCCCAGTTTCCAACCCTGCCAGTTCCTGCTTAGCCTTGCCCTGCTTTTTCCTCTCAACTTCAAATGTTCCTTTAAAACAAACAAACAAACAAACAAACAAACAAAAAACTCACTGAATCCAGGTAGTGCTGCTTGTATGGGAGTAGGATTTGAACTGGGGCATGGGTAGCCACATCCCTGAAGAGAACTGGCTCTCACTCCGTCTTAGTCCGTGTTCTATTGCTGTGAGGAGACACCATGACTAAGGCGACTCTTACAAGAGAAAGCATTTAATTGGGGCTGGCTTACAGTTTCAGAGACTCAGTCCATCATCATCATAGCGGGGAGCATGGCGGCATGCAAGCAGGAGCTGGAGCGGTAGCTGAGAGCTGCGTCCTGATCCACAGTCAGAGAGACCCTGGGCCTGGCATGGGCTTTGAAACCTCAGAGTCCACCCCCAGTGACACACTTCCTTCAACACAGACACACCTTCTGATCCTTCTAATCCCTTCAAATAGTACCATTCCTGGGTTACTAAGCATTCAAATATATGAACCTAGCGGGGCCATTCTTATTCAAACTACCCCCCCCCCCCCGTTGCCATCAAATGTCAATAGCTTCTATGATAAACCATTTCAGTCATTGCTTTTGAATTGTAGTATTTCATTTTTAGTCCACATTTTCAATTTATTCTTTGACAGTTCCGTACATGTCTATAACATATCCTATCCAGTCCCACTACCCTCAACACCCCTTTCTCACCTTCATGTGCTTCTGTGTGTTTTTTAATCTACTGAATCCAGCCAGTGCTGACCAGATTTGCATGAGAACGGGGCCATCCAGCAGCCAAGAAGGAAGAAAAATGACCCCCCCCCCCCCCCCCCCGCCGGCAGCCATCAACAGCTCTTTGCTCCTTAGCTAGGAGTGGGCATCGCAAGCCCCTCCCACACTGCATTTCGACTGGCTTGATCTTGTGCAAGTCTCGTGCAGGGAACCATAGACACTGCAAGTTCATGAGTGCCGCGGTTTGCCGTGCCTTGGAGAAGATGTCTCATAGGGCTCCTCCCCCATCTTCCTAGCTCTTACACTCTTTCCATCTCTCCTTTCATGTTCCTGAGCCTCGGCAGGGGGTAGGGGAATTGAAATAGATATCCCTTTTAGGGGAGAAAGGGCGAGGGATGGGGAGAGGAGAGAGAATACTTGCCCTCAACATTCACATGTTCTCAGCACTTGGAGGGTGACAAGCATTTTCATATATGTCCTTTATCATGGTGAGTTAGCCCCTTTTGATGCCTAGTTAAGTTTTTTTAAAGTCCCAAATCCTTGTAGAATTTTGTCAGATGGTTCTTCTGCATCAGTTGATAATGACTGCATTCCCTCCCATGTCTATCATTCTGTGAATGTGGTTTATAACATTTGGTTGATGCTCATGTATGGGACCATCCTGCCATTCCAGGAGTAAATCCCACGTAGTCACGTGCGAACCATTTCATATAGCATTGAATCTCCCTCTGCCAGTCTTCGTTGTTGTTCAGGGATATTGTTTCATGTTCACCAGGAATTCCGTAGTTTGTTGTAGCATTAACTTGGCTCAGGACAATGCTGCCTTTACAGAAGTGTTTGGAGTAAGAAGAGAGCTGGTCTGTGTAGCAAGTACTGGGAGTAGCCAGGACAGAAAGTCTCCTGATGGTCCCAGAAATGATGCCGTGAGACAGTGGATCACTTCAGGGAAAGACAGGGACAGAAGATGACAGATATTGCAGTAAAGTAAATTTCTATGGAGGTGGTACTGAGGGGTGTCAATGGCAGATCTTTTAGAGAGGCCTTGGCAGGGCAAAGTAGTAGCTTAAGGAATAATTTAAATCATTAAGATCTGTGTAGCTAGAGTTTTCCTGCCTTGCCCACAGTCAGGACACATCTTTGTC